AAAGAACTGAACCCTTATTTAGATTGCAGCATAGAAGGTCAATTCAAATAATTTGAGGCTTAAATATAGAAGAGAGAAAACTACATGTTTCTTGGGCATCTTTTGTTTATCTAATGACCTCAGATTCTTCTTTTTATTTATACAAATATTTTGTGGTAGGTGATATTGTATTTCCCCAAGGTTCCCTTCTTTCTTGAAGTGGATCATTATCAACAGAGTATACTTTCTAGCCCCAGTGGTGCTGAGCCAGTAATATGACTGGCTTTGGCCAATGGAATATGGGAAAATGTGTGTGAGTTTAGAGCCTGGGACTTAGAGGCATCCTGTGTTTCTGCTCGCCCTTCTTGCACTGCTATCATCATCCACGAAAGGGCATATTCCAGGTGGTACACGTAGAGCACGTCTAAACTCAATTTGCATCCTGAAGTAGTCTCAGCCAAGCTACAGACCAATGAGCAAAAAAATAAACAAATATGAGTATGTATACAATAAAATGATATATAATTTTAAAATATTATTGTAAACCAATGAAATTCTGAGGCTGTTTGTCACACAGCATTGATGCAACAATAACTGACCAATACATGCAGCTCACATTTTTAGATCTTCCCACATTCTGTGTGTCATCCTCAGAAAGTGCTGCACAAAGAAGTAATAGTGATTTCCTAAATTATAAGCCATATTATAATTAATAAAGCTCTTTATAACATGTTGTTTTATTTAATTCTCACCACAGACAATGAAGTTGAGAGGTAATATGACTCGTATAAGGTCGCACATTGACTAAGAGACAAGGCTGGGGATTGAACTCAAATGGAATTGATTAAGAAAACCTCCCCCTACACATACACATACAGAACTACCACAAAGCGGTACAAATGGCCCAATGAAATTAAGTTGCTAAGATGCGGACAGCAAATACCCTCCAGGAGATTATTGCCAGGAGGAACGGAAAACAAGCAGAATGGCAAGACACGGTTAGAGAATTGGATGTTCATTGGTAGCCGTTTCTTACTTGCCCCTATGCTCAGGGAGCAATCTGACACACCAGTGTTATTTGAAAAGCAAACCTTGCATTTCCTAGGGAAATTCTTCCCTCGTGACATCCCGGGGACCGCTCTGTGGCCACATAAAATGCCGCTGTAAACAACTCAATATATATTTCAAACGTTAATTGTCTTCCCAGACCTTGGAATTTCTCACTGAGCTCACTCACAAGTTTTATTGAGGGCATAAAATTTACTGTGTTGACATACCCTTTAAAGCGCTGAATTCTCAAGGCCAAAGCAAGCGCAGACGACATTACAGAGTGTGAGTCAAGTTTTTTTATTGAAAAATTCTGTTTCACGCCTCTCTTTTGCATCACAACCCAAATTAAGCCACTGGAGGGGAAAAATTGTCAATACTTTTAAAAAGAAATGTAATCGTCCCTTTGCAGGCACATTCTTGCAGAACTGGCATGAAGCCATGTTATCTGTTTCAAAGAAGCCTGGCTCTCAGCAACCAAAGTGATAAGGGTTTGTGTTTGAAATGTCTCAGTGTGGCAACCCAGAGTCAGAAAGGCCCCTTGAATTCCTTTGCAGATACACGCTACTATACATAAAATAGATAAACAACGAAGTCCTACTGTGTAGCACAGGGAACTCTCTTCAATATCTTGTAGTAACCTATAATGAAAAAGAATATGAAAAGGAATATATGTGTGTATGTTTGACTGAAACATTATGCTGCACACCAGAAATTGACACACTGTAAACTGACTATATTTCATTAAAAAAAAAAAGCCATAAAAAAACAATTTTAAAGAAAGGCCCCTTGAGGGTCTCTGATAAAATGATGAGCTTTAAGAGTTTTGCTCTGGGACCTTCTGATTTGTTTGAAGAGAAGTTTATTGTTACATGAGTCCCTAAACTGATAATTGCTCAAAAATCTGCCTCTGCAAGGCTCTGCTTGCAACTCACATATCCACATGCCTGGTGAAGAAAGTATCTGAAAATATGAACAACTCCGAAAGAGAGAAGAGAGCCCAGCCTTCTGGGGAGGGCTTAGCAGAGTGAACAGGGAGATGGAAAAGGGCACAGGATGCCCTGAGAATGTGTACAAATGGTCCAGCAAAATTAGCCTGTAAGATGTTGACAACAAATGACGTTTAAGAGGTTAAAAACACCCACAAAAAGTACAGAGAGGGATCCAGCTCCCAGGGACGGTACTCAGAAGTCACACTCCCTCACTTACTGAAACACTAAAGTTTACTAAGAGCTTTAAGGTCAGGCTGCCTGGGTTCAAATCCCGGCTCCTCCACTTACACATGGCATCACTTTAGGCAACTGAGCTCTTTCCTGTCTTGGCTTCGCATCTGCAGAATGATGCTCTAATAATACTTTTTCTCATAGGTTGTTACAAAGGTAAAGGGAGTTACTGGGTGTACAGCCTTCTCAGTTCTCAGCATGTTGATGATGATAACAAGGTACTGGAAGCAAGGAAAGAAAGAACACATTCAAGGTTACTCGTGAAGCTTACATTCTAGTAATATAAACTATACCCTAAGTAGACAATTACAATCCAGTGTGTAAATGCTTGAAAGGCCATCAGAGGGGCTCCTGGGGATGGCTGTTTAGTCTGATGAAGAAGATTTGCCTGGATGCTGTGGTATCTGCCCCACTCATCAGTAGACACAGGCAAACCCAGACTGACCCCACAGATGACCACACCTGTTTGGCCCTATTTATTACCTGTGGCTTCATAACAAATTATCCAAAATCCAGTGGCTTAAGACAACAAATATTTACCATCTCACAGTTTCTGTTGCTCAGAAACCTGAGTGCAGCTTGGCCAAGGGCCTCTGGCTCGAACTGTCGGTCAGGGCTGCAATATCGCTTGAAGACTCAAGATGGGGACTCCATGTCCAAGGTCACTCAGATGGATTTGCAGGTCACAGCCCATAGTCCTCGCCTTGTGGGTCTTTACACAGAGCTGCCTCCTGAGATGGAAGCTGGCTTTACCCGGAGTGAATCATGAGAGAGAGAGAGAGAGAGAGAGAGAGCAAGAGAGAAACCAGAGTCATTTTATAAACTAAACTTGAAAGTGACACCCCATCACTTCTGCCATACTCTGTTTGTTAGAAGAAAGCCAGTGTGTCCAGCGAACCTTCAAGGGGTGGGGATTACACAAAGATATGCATACCAAGATGCAGGGATCACTGGGGACCCTCTTACAGGCTGTCTACCATACTCTGTTGGAGCATTTCAGGCTATTTGAAAGGAATTTGGTGAAAGCACAAGAAGAAAGGAAAGTTAGAAATTCTTCTGGCCACTGTCCTTGCCACAAACCACCAAGCTAAAATCAAAAAGAGGGAGAAAAGCCAATCAATCTATTAATTGTGTTGACTTAAATGCCACCTGTTCAAAGAAGCCTTCTTTGCTACCATGTTGGTGTGGTCCCTCCTCCTATTGCTCATTATCCCATCAACTTGTTTGAATTTCATGGCTATATGATATATTCTTATTTATTCGCCTATTTTACAATCTTTTCCCAGCTGCTCTATTGCAACCTCCATGAAGACATGGATCTTGTCTACCTGGAAACTTCAGTACACAGTAAATATTTATGAAATGACTGCCAAGATCTCTAAGTAAACAAGAGGTACATCTGATCTCAAAGTTCCTGAAATGTGGTTGAAAGATAAGGGTAGCATACAGGAAACAGTCAAAAATAAGCATTTGCCACAATTCTGCCTTTGATTGCAGTCTGTTTAGAAGTAAGAGGAACCCACTGGAGGTTGGAAGAATCAAAGAACTCTTAATGGAGAAGGAAAAGCTGAGCAGGGCTTGGAGAGTGATCTGGATTTGGTAAGGCAGGAAGACGTCTGTTTAAGGGAGTATAAAGGATGGAAGCTGTCGTTGGAGAGGGAAAGTGGGGTCAGCATCAGCCAGCTTGGAAACCTGAGCAGGGCTGAAAGCCAATCTCAATCCATTGCCAGTGGCCCAGCCAATGGATACAAGGAGGCTGATGTGTCTCTGTGCACTGATCCAATGCATGAACGAAGCCACTGACATTGCCAGGCTCTTCCCAGATGGCTCCAAAAATGTCCCCAAATGAGAAACACATCATCAGCATCTCTTGAGAATGATTCACCTGCCAACTTGTTTCCCCAGCATGAGTTAGCACCCTTGAAGTTAACCTAATTCCCTGTACTCTGATTTTCTGTTCACCAGAAACCCATTGATGAGGGACTTGACACCTCAAGTGTTTCCATAGTGACCCAGCTTAGGCCAAGTACCCATTCCTAAACCAGTCCCTCTGTCCAGGGTGTTGGAGTTTTCTGATTAGCCAAGCCTGGGACCTGTGGTTGTTCTGTTACCACAGAGTGAGGTCAGCCAAGCCACAACAAAGTCACATGATCTAGAAAAAGAGGGAGGATGGTGCCCCAAATGGAAGTTGGGGTGTCTTTACACAAAGAATTTGAAGGACCCTGGTAAGAGGGAAAAAAACAGATGTTCATTACACAGCCTATCCTTAAGTATACCATGAGCACCCTGAACAATCACACCGGGTTTCTGAGCATGAGGCTCAGGATCACAATCCCTTAATCAAATTCCACACAATCAAATGAGGACCATGTGGGAAAACAGAGCTAAAGGTAATGCACCCCAATGTTCATAGGAGCTTTGTTTATGAGAGCCAAGACCTGGAAGTAACCCAAGTGTCCATCAACAGACAAATGAATAAAGAAGATGCGTATAAATATACAACGGAATATTACTCAGCCATAAAAAGAATGAAATTCTGCCATCTGCAGTAATATGCATGGACCTGGAGAATATTATGCTTAGTGAAATAAGTCAGAGAAAGACAAATACGTATCAATTATACGTGGAATCTGAAAAACAAAACAGATGAATGTGCACAGAAAAACAGAAATAGACTCACAGATATAGAAAACAAACTAGTGGTTACCAGTGAGGAGTGAGGGGAGGGAAGGAGCAAAATAGGGGTATGAGATTAAGAGGTACAAATTATTATGTATAAAATAGATAAGCAACAAGGACATATGGTACAGCACAGGGAAATATAGCCATTATTTTGTAATAACGTTTAATGGAGTATGATCTATGAAAATACTGAACCACTGTGCTATACACCTGAAACTAATATAATATTGTAAATCAACTATACTTCAATTTGAAAAAGAAAGAGAGAAAGAAAAGAGAGAGAACAAGGAAAAAAACCAACAAACAGAGCTTGTTTAAACTATAAGCCAGTGAGAGACCTCTAGGGCCTGGAAGCACCTATCGAATACTTCATAAAGAAAGATAAAGAAGTGTTATTTACTTTAGGTCTCTAAAGAGTAGGATCAAGGATGTGGTAGGCACTCAATATTTGTTGTAAATGGCCGAAGCCAAAGGAGAGGCAACTCTTACAGATTTAAAAAGACCTAAGAGCATTTGTGTACGAGTGTACATATGTTTTCTTTTCTCTTGGGCAAGAAACTAGAAATGGAACAGCTGGATTACAAGCAGGTGTATGAGTTAGTTTGCTACGACTGCTGCAACAAATTACTACACAGTCAGTGACTTAAAACAACCCGAAGGTTTTATCTGACCGTGCTGGAGGTCAGAAGTCTGAAATGCATTTTATTGGACTAAAATCAAAGTGTTGACAAACTTGAGTTACTTCTGTAAGTCCCAGGAAAGAATTCATTCTCTTACTTACTTTTTCCAGCTTCTAAAAGCTACCTGTATTCCTTCCTCCTCTTCAAAGCCAGCACTGTAGCAGCTTTAAGTCTCCTTCTCTGACCCTCTCTCTTATAAGGACCCTTGGAATTACAGTGGGCCTCCCAGATAATCCAGGGTATTTCTTCCATCTCAAGATTGTTAATTTAAACATATATGCAAAGTCCTTTTCCCTGTGTAAGGTTCCCTATTGAAGGGCTCCAAGGATTAGCTTGAGGACATCTTCAAGGGGACCATTATGCTGCCTACCACAGTGTATATTTAACTTTTTAAGAAATTGCCCAACTGTTTTCCAAATTGGTTGTACCATTTACATCCTCACCAATAGTATAATGAGAGTTCAAGTTCTTTCTCATCCTTGTCAATGTTTGGTCGGTCAGCCTTTTTGACTGTGGCCATTCTAATAGTTATGCATTGATACCTCATTTCTGGTTTTAATTTGCATTTTCTCTAAGTAAAGGTGCTGAATATCTTTTCATGTGCATACTTGTCATCTGTGTATCTTCTTTGGTGAAGTGGCTATTTAAATTTGGTATCCATTTTCACTTGGGTTGTTTGTTTTCTTATTATGAAAATTTGAGGATTCTTTCTTTACTCTGGATACAAGTCTTTTTGTTGAATATACGCTTTGCAAATCTTTTTCTCCCCCTGTCTGTGGCTCATGCTTTTAACAGCCTTACTTAGAATAGCCAAAGACTGGAAACAATCCAAATGTTCATCAGCTGGTGGGTAGATAAATAAACCGTGGTAGAAAGCTCATCCAGGAGAAAGCTTGTCAATAACCATGAAAAAGGAATAAACTATTGACACACTCAACAGCATGGATTAACCTCAAACCAATCATGAATGCAAAAGAAGCTGGACAAAACACAGTATCCATGCTATATGACTCCATTTATATAAAACTCTAGAAAATACAAACTAATGTATAATGACAGACAGCAAATTAGTGGTTGCATTGGGATGGAAGGTGGTGAGGTGAAGTGGGGAGGAGCAGAGTGGAGAGTACCAAGAGGATCAAAGAAATTTAGGAGGCAAGAGAAATGTTCACTGTCTTGGCTGTGGTGATGGCTTCATGGTTACATTCACATGTCGAAGTTTATCAAATTGTACACTTTCAATATGTGTGGTTGACTGTGGGCCAATTATACTTCAACAAGCTGTTATTTAAAACGGGGACTTAAGAGACTTACTAACTAAATGCATCACATAGATCTTATTTTGATCTGCATTTAAGCAAATCAACTATAAAAGAAAATGAGTTGAGGAAATTTGAACACTGGATATAAATGATATTAAGAAATAAGGGTTAACTTTTTTAGTTATTATCATCGCATCTTTATCTCTCAGAGGTGTGTACTGAAGGATTAGCTGATGGAGTGATACGATTTCTGGGATTTCCTTGGAAGAACCATGCATGGCCGGTGGGGTGAGCGGAGGCAGGAAGGTAATACAAGATTGGCCACATGTTGATAATGGCAAAGCTGTATGACAGACACAGGGACTCACTCTACTGTTTTCTCTACCTCCATGTATATTCCAAAACTTTCATCATATGCAGTTAAAATGTTTTATTTTGTAGAAATGTTTATTGAATGAATGATACAAGTGGGTATATTTCAACTTGATACAAGATTGAAAATTTTTAATAATGTTTTAAGACACAGGAAAATTATATGAAATTTAATTTCAGGGCCTCTAAATAAAATTTCTCTGGAACACAGCCATGACCATTCATTTGTGTAGTGTCTCTGGCTACTTTCGTGTAATAATGGCAGCAGGGACTCTATGACCCACAAAGACAAATCTATTCACTATCTGGCCCTTTATAGAAAAAAGTCTGCTATTCTTGATATAGAAGGTAAGCCTAAACCCTGAGAGTGTTTCCCTAAACTGACAGCACTCCAGAAAAGTGAGTGGAAAAAGCATGAGTCCAGCTTTAGGCTCTGTTCCTCCTACCAAAGCGACACCAAGGATCAGAGGAAGATGTTATTGCTCAATTGATTGCAATAAACGCATTGTCATTTCTGGAAACACAGTGAAATTGAAAATTGAAGAGGTCAGGTTGGCCCTCCAGCCTCAGGGCTCAGTGTCCTCTTTTGCGGATAGACTTTTTCTATTGTTCAAGTCTGTAGATAAGTTAAAGAGCAAGGTGTACATACATCTGACCCAGCAATTCCACTCTTGGGTATATATCTGAAAAAAATAAAAACACTAATTCAAAAAGATTCAGGCACCCCAATGATCACAGCAGCATATTATTTACAATTGCCAAGATATGGAAACAACTTAAGCGCCAATCAACAGGCGAATGGATAAAGGAGATGTAGTATAGATATACAATGGAATACTACTCAGCCATAAAAAAGAAGGAAATTTTGCCATTTTCAGCAACATGAATGGACTTGGAAGGCATTATGTTAAGTGAACTAAGTCAGGCAGAGAAAGATGAATACTGTGTGATATCACTCATATGTAGATTCTAAAAATTACAACAAACTAGTGAATATAACAAAAAAGAAGCAGACTCACAGATATTAAAGAACAAACTAGTGGTTACCTGTAGGGAGACGGAAGAGGGGAGGGGCAACGTAGGGATAGGGGAGCAAGAGGTACAAACTACTGGGTGTAAGATAAGCAACAAAGACATATTAGTGTACAAAATGGGGAACATAGCCAGTATTTTGTAATAACTATAAAAGGAGTATAACCTTTAAAATCGTGAATCACTATATTGCACACTTGTAACTTATATAATATTGCACAGCAACTATACTTCAATAAAAAATAACAAAGTAAGATCACAAGAAATAAATAAAGAGCAAGGTGGAACTCTCTGCCCGTGTCAGTGTCTGATATGCTCCTGTGTTTGTTCATGTGTTCATGACCTGGACTCCCCCACAGGCTCGGGCGGGCAGGGACTCCGTCCTGTTCACAGCCATACTCCGTGCCTGGAGCAGTCCCTGGCACATAGGAAGCCCTCACCAACATTGAAGGAATGAATGAACTGAAGGAAACCTCACCGAATAGAGAAGGAGAGGAAATTATGGCCCTGAAGCTTAGGGATAAAAAAAAAATCGCTTTCTTCTTGCACAGTGAAAACATTCCTTCTTCCCATTTGAGGTTTCCTCACGTATGTCTAAATATAGTACCGGGAAACAGTACAATATGAGTACTGAAGGAATTCTGCCCGCCACAATTTCTGTGCAAATCAGAATTGAGCTCAGCTCCCGCTCCAGAAGGCAGAGCTCTGCTATGTCATACATAGCTTCCTTTTTTGTGACATAGAATGATGCACCTAGATTGGCTGTGTGACCCTGTGCAGGTGACTCACTATCTCTGTTCTTCATGCGTGTAAAAAATGGGGGAGCATCGTGGGCCATTGTGAAGACTGAATGAGATAACATGAGAGAGGGCAGGGCACAGTATCTGAAACCAGAGGAAACTTAGCTTCTCTTCTGTTCTGAGGAACATCAGCCTTCTCCCCCAGCTGTGTAAAGGAACTTGGGGTCCACAGTCGCGTTGTTCACAAGAGCCAAAAGGTAGAAACTACCCAACGGTCCATCAATAGAAGTGGATGAACAAAATGTGACCGATTCACAAAGTGAAACATTAATCAACCATAAATATAAATGACATACTGGTAAGTGCAACGAAACAGATGAACTTAAAGGCATGCTAAGTGAAAGAAGCCAGACACAAAAGATCATATATGATATGATTCCATTTACATGAGATATCGAGAACAGGCAAATTCATAGAGACAGGAAAGAGAGTAGAGGTTCACAGCGGGGTTGAGGACAGGAGGGAACGTGGAGTGACTAATGGGTACAGAGTTTCTGCTTCAGGTGGTAAAAAATTGTAGAAAGGGAGCGTGGTGATGGTTGCACAAATGTCTTGAGTGCCACTGAATTTTGTGGTTGAAATGGCAAATTTTATGTTGTATATATTTTACCTTTGGGCTGATTCAAGGCATCTGGAAACAGAATTCCTGGATTTGAATCTTAATTCTGTTAACTGTGCAACCTCAGGTAACCCTGAATCACTCTGTTCAATTTCTTTATCTGAAAATGGGGATGAGAACATAATTTTATCTTCCACATGTCGTAGGAATTAAAAGAGCTCATTAATGCAAGCACTTAGCAGTGTGCCTGCATATATTAAATGCTCAATAAATGCTAGAGAGTATTTTTCAACCTCTTCACTATTGGCATTCGGGACGGATAATTCTCTGCTGCTGGGGCGCTGAGCTGGGCCCTGGGGGATGTTTAGCAGCATCCCTGGCCCCTCCCACTAGATGTTAATAGCATGCCTCCTTCTGTCCAAAGTTGTGACAATCAAAACCTTCTCAAGGTCACTAAATCTCTCTGGAAGAGCAAAACTGCCCCTGGTCAAAAATCACTGTCTTAGCAGCGGCAAGACCCACTTATGACCCACTTATAGGTTACAACCTACAGGTTGAAAATGACAGAACTAATCACCTTTATTTCACCGAGGGCCAGTGAAATCTCCGGACATTTCCGTCCCACGCCGGGCCCACTAGATCACTCATTCTACACATGAGCATGTCAGGCTGACCCTCACCAGCTCTCCAGCCTCCAGAAAGGGCCAGGACTCCATGCAGTGCAGGAGCAATCAGCATCCCAGCCTCTTCCTAGCTCTCGATTTATGCGTAGTAAGTATACAGACACACGTTTCCGTGGAAGCCATGAGAGTAGGTGATATCTAAGACCCCTTCCGATGTTGCTATTGGGTGATGCTAAGTTAGTAGCTTTTAACCAGAGAGACCTAAATTTGGAATAATTGAGGGAAAAAGTTTAACTCCAAGGAACTGAGTCACATTCAGATTGATTCTACATACAAAGGATTAGAAGCATTTTTACATTTCCTCTCTCTCTCTCTCTTTCTCTTTCCCCCACCACCTCTCTCGCTATCTCCCTTTAAACAGTAAGCAGCAGGTTGCTGGGGATTGTACTTCCCAGAGGCAGGATTTAGCTCTGCCCCTGAAGACCTGCCCTCGCCAGCTTCTGAGAAATTGAACACTCGGGCACAAGAGAAAGGACAACCAATCCTGCCCTGAGCCAGAGTAGGAGTTGTTGAAAGGACAGCTTTTAGATGTAATCAGTCAACCCATTTTTTTTTCCCTAATCTACTATGACAGAAATGGGAGGGGGTAGTGACTAAAAGAACCTTTCCTAAGAAGAGAAATATTTCCTGCTTAAAACAGAAAAAGGCTGAATCATAGAACCCTTTCACAAAGCACCCTCTGCATAATGTTTTTTCCTCCCCGAAGTTACTCACCTGAGGTTAACGGTGAATAGTAAAAGCCGACATTTACTGAGTGCTTGCTGCAGGCACGGCTCGGCGGCAGGTCCTTACACAGTCATTTCGTCATCTAGAGCATCCTAGGAGACACGTGGCATTCTTGCCACCCCCGTTTTGTAGATGGAGATACTGAAGCACAAAGTGCTTAAATGACTTGCCTTAAATAACGAGACTCCAGAGCTGTAATGCTGGGAGTTAAACCCAATAGGGTCACAGATGCAGCCTATGAAAATACAGAACGCCTCCTGCCTGGGACATAACAGTACATTACAAAAGCATTGGCTGTTTATATGAAATTCAGATTTAACGGAGCATCTTGTTTTATCTGGCAACCCTAATCCAAACCTCTTATTCCAAGGCACTCTGCCCGTGGTTCTCCAAGTGTGGTCCCAGGACCAACACCGTCATCCTCACATGGGAAATGGCTAGAAATGCAAGCTCTCCGGCTTGACCTAGGAGTGAGAATTCCTAGCTCCGTGGGACAAATTGGTCGTGAAATGCCTCCCAGACCTTGGTTGAATTTATGACCAAGAGGAAGTGCTGTGGACAAAGAATATAGCCTGCCATTCCAGTAAACAAGGAATATTGCCCACCCAAGCCATCAGTCACTGTAGCTACCACCCGTGCCCCACCCTGCTACCCTCTACCCCTGAGGGTGCGCCCTGAGGGGAATCTAGGGTGCAGAAAAACAGGAAGCATGTGCTTTGGATACTTACGGTGCATATCTAAGGAATAATTTAAATGAGCCCGGATTCTTGCATCTTCCCATACGTATAAGAGCACTAAAATCATTAACCTGAGATGTCTGCTTTTTGTGATTAGCAGTAATCTTTTGACATTTGATTATATCTTTTTTTCAGCAAAAACGCCTATATATCCTGGCTCCTCCCTTACCTTTTTGGATCCGTTTCTGAGAGCCAACTGAAAGGCTGCCTCCCAGGCTACAGTCCTCAGTAAGTTCCCCGAAGAAGATATAACCTGCAGCTTTAGGCTGTGTGTTTTTCTTCAGTTGACAGGCTCCACCCTAGACCTACTGCCTCAGAAACTGTGGGTGGGGCCCCCAAATCTAGGTTTTAACACGCTTCCCAGGTGAATCCAAAGCATACTCAAGTTTGAGCACCCCTGCAGGACACTACACGACCACCACAGTACTCTAAGGCAGGTGGGGACACAGTCAAGCTTAAAATGGGACCCCCAAACCTGAAGATCAGGGTGTCCCCATCACTTGCCCTTTTCTCTTCTTCATC